TTCTCCGGCTTGGGCTTGTCCAGGAGCAAACCGTACTCAGGATCCTCTCCCTTGGTGCGGCGGCTGGTCCGAATTTCAGGTTCTGCGGTGAGTGGTCTTCTCACCGAGCCGGGAATCGGACTTGCACTGCGGTCCCTTGGAGGAGAACGCTGCACAGGCATGCGGTACCCCGCACCTCCACCAAAATGTCACGGGTGGTGACCAAACGAAAACAGGAAATAAACAAGAAGAAATAAACGTTTAATGTGGCGAACTTGTGCCAAAAATAAAAGAGTACAAAAGATAATAATAGAGCGTCGCGGGCGTCGAAGACGGCGTGGCAGCAGAGTCGAACGCTGGGGCGAGACTGACTGCAGATCAGCACGCGGAGTCCCTTATGTACGCGCGTTGGGTTCTGGAACAATCGGCCTAGATTGTTCGGCGACTGGAACATTCAGAACTCGATCTGACGAGAATGTTCTCGAACTCCCGAGAACGCAATGAAAGAACAAATAAAAGAGCATTCCACTGAGTGGAATCGAACCCAGACTTTCTGCACGACAGTCAAGCACGGTAACCACTCGGCCACGCGCGCGGTGGCTCGCTGACGAGCGTGGCAATATACAGCAATTTGTGAACTCTGAAGTCGGCGTAGTATATCACATCCCCTTGTCGTGTGGAAACGTGTATATCGGGCAGTCAGGCAGATGCATTAATGATAGATTAAGGGAGTATTATCTGGCTATGAGATCTTCTCCCTTCGGCTACTTGGCGGTACACTGTGCCAGGTGCGGGTGTGCGCCACTCTTTATTCACATTGGCAGTGTGACGCGGCACACTAAACAAAGAACGAGGGTGATTACGGAGGCTTTTGTCACGTCACAGTGCGAGGAGGGCATGTGTGTCAGTTCGCCGTCCATGGGCTTGTTTGGCAGCGACATTGCTTGCATGTGTCGTTGCGAAGCAAGATTTTAATCGCAATGATATTATTGGCGGTCTTTTGTGTTTTGGTGGTTGAGAGGTTTTGATGATTTTTCCTAATAAAAATTAAGTTGTTAGTCAGCGCTTGTCGTGTACATTCCTCTCACTTGTCCTTCGTCTAATATTTGCGCTTTTTTTTTTTTTGGTTTTCATGCATCACCAACTGCCTATGTTACAACTCTTATGCATAGTTTCTGAAGGTTAACAAGCAACCCCACAGCGGTGCGATTTTTGAACCTCGCGTCCCGAACGTGTCAGATGAGCCGGAAGTGAACCACAGGGTAATGAGCTATGTGACTTGTTACTTTCATCACAATTGCTACCCTGCTCGTCTTACAACCCAGAGAAACTAGTACTCGTGTTAGGCGACTGAACGCCGCCGGGAATGTCGTAACTGCCCTCATTTGGTATGAGGTACGCGAGAAATTGGTTTCGTTCTAATTCCAATCCCGAGTGCATTCTAAGAACATAAGACCTCGGTCGATTGGCAGGTCGTAGGACTGTGGCTGCTTCTTTGCTGTCTTTCACCCACACTTGGTCACCTGACTGCAGTGGAGGTAGCCCCCTAGCCGCTTGACGGCGATCGAAATTCTGTTTTTGTTTTGCTTTTGCAGCACGCTCTTCTTGGCTAACAAGGTTCTTGTTCACAATCTTAGGCTCCAGTTTGGTGGGCTGCAGCGGAATCGTAGTCCGCAGCTGTCGGCCCATAAGCAATTTGGCCGGACTTTTCCTAGGGGTCCCCGGCTGTCCCCGTATCCTAACAAAGCGAGGTAGACGTCACTAGACTTTTTTTATGAGGCTCGTTATGGCTTGAACCATCCTCTCTACTTCCCCGTTAACGTGCGGGTACCTCGGGCTCGACGTGACTTGCTGGAATCGGTACTCTCGCGCAAAACACCGGAATTCTGAGGACACAAATTGCGTTCCATGTTCCGATAAAACTACTTCGGGTATTCCATGCCGTGCAAAAACACTTTTCAAGTGGGTGATTACAATGCAACTGGTAATTCTTCTCAGATATACTTTTAGACAAACGCAAGACGACGTCCGCAAACTCGAACAAATTATGGCACGCAAGCAAACAAAAACAGACACTAAGATATTTAATGACACAAAGACCATGTTGAATTTAATACCACGTTTAGTAAATTAAAAAAAAAAAAAAAACTTACGTCACTTATGTTGGGCAGTTTATAACTTTTTTTTATTTCTATAGAATTAATTTTCCTTGCACTTTTCTCACTTACATAAAGTGCATCACCGATATAAGTTCATTGTGATTCTTTATTTGGTTTGTAATAATGCTATGTATGACCTTGTTTGCAAGATTAATTGTGTGCTGCCTGTAAGTGTTGCATTGGGGACAGAGACCTTTGTCAGGCTTTACGACTTTAGTCTTTGTCTCTCTTTCGGTTGGAACCAGAGACAAAAAAAGCTCCATTCAATTCAATCCAAATAGATTAATCCCATGAACTCAAGCATTTTCTTTAGAAACGTCGGCTGTGGGAAGTCTGGTATGGCTGTAACCTTTCTGTCCAATGGCTTGATAACTTGCGGGGTTACGAGATGACCCAGGATTTGAATGGTTGTCACGCGAAGTACGCCTTTTGGGGGTTTATGATCAACCCGTATTGGTTTAGTCGAGTGAAAAGAGCGCGAAGGTACTCCTTGTGCTCGACCTGTGTCGACCAAGAGATCGTCGAGGTAAGCAAAGAGAAAGTCTAAACCTCGATTGACTTCACTGATGGTACATTGAAATAAAAGGGCGACATTTCGAAAACCGAATGGCCTCCTCACGTACTCAAAGAGGTCTTTAGACTGACGGCAATGTCCACCCTAATCTGGTGGTGTGTCTTGACTAAGTTGATTTTAGAGAATATCTGGCATCCCGCCAGATTCGTGGTGAAGTCATGTTCGTGAGGAAGGGGTATCAGTTCGATTGTGTGTTGGTGATCAGGGCACGACAATCGCCGCACGGTCTACAATCGCCGGGGTCTTTCTTGTGAGCCATATGAAGTGAAGACAGCCAGTCCCTCGAAGTTGGTCGAACAATGCCAAGTTCGAGCATGTGCTCGAACTCGCGACGAGCAATAGCTAGGCGTCCTCCGGGCAGCCGACGTAGACGAGCAAAGACAAGCGGGGCCGAGGTAATAATGTGATGAGTGAGGGTGATTCCCTAGTGTGTGGCCTTATAATGCTCGAAAAATTCGCAAGATGTCTTTCATAAGCAGATGAAGGCGAAAGCGCCCGTAGTTCAGTCGCCGTGGTTATGGCGAGCACGCCGTTCACAGAGGGGCGTTGTCTGTGAGTCGGTGAGGCCCAGTGAATGGATGTGGACGGCGATTTACTACAAACTGAGTAACTCAGCTCCCACAACAGCCTGTTTGATGCTGGCGACAATCTACAACCACCGGAAAGTGCGACCCAGTTTCAGGTTGATCGTAAAGGACCGCTCACCATAGGTTACAATGGTCGCATTTTTCATCGCCTGGAGTTAAAAGGTTGCATCGTTGGTCCAAAAGAGAGCCAGGTAGAACGCTGATCTCAGCTCCTGTGTCGAGAAGCAAGCGATGGCCGGCTACCTTGTCGACGACGTAGAACAGGCGGCTCTCCTGTCGACCGGTGACACTTGCTCTCTTCAGTGCCCGGTATTCTCATTTCCCGCCCCAGAGCAGGGTTGGCTCCACTTACGGGCATTGCTGCCGAAGGTACGGTAGTACCAACATTCACGCGAGGGGGAGTCGACCTGACCAAACTGGGAGGCGGAAGGCTCAGCGTGACGTGAAGGGGAACGCGAGTGCTGCGGTTGGCGGCGTCGTGGCGAAGGTCCAAGGGCAGAAATCTAACGCCTCAATGTGTCAGTATAGTCTAAGAGCCGAGCGAGTCTTGAGTCATCCGTTGTACCTCATAACTGACCGGTGACTGCGCCGATGCTATGCTACCACGAATAATCAGCGCCTCGGTTAGCCAGTTCTGCAATCTTGTTTGGCGTCATGTCTTTTACGGCTGAAGCACCAATACCACGTTCTGGGAAAAACGCTTGAGAAACCACTCGCGCAGGAGGTGGTTGTTCGGGTCCTGCTCTTGATCGGCCAGCAGCTGACGCATTTTGAGGAGCAATTGGGAGGGACGTCTATTGCCAAGGTACTCCGATGTGAGATACTGCTGCAGTCTGCTGCTCTAGGACTCGGACTTGCGTTCGAGGATGGCTGCCTTCAGATGATCGAACGGGTTGACCAGGTGTAACGTAGTGAGGGGGTCGGCCAGTTTCTCGGCTACGTCGGCAGGCATGGAGGAGACGGCGTGAAGGTATTCCGTCTCCTGACTGGTGATATGTCGGACACGGAACTGGGCCTCGACTTGCATCAGCTATACCTGAGGGCTTTTGGTCAAAAATTATGGAAGCCGGATGTTTTGGACCGTCGCCGCGACGTGGTGTCGCTGTGAGGAACGTTGGATTGGCCGGTATTAGTCATTATTCATTCAAGATGGTAGGAACGAGTTCGATACCTGGTCACCAATGTAGGAGCTGGAGACAAATACTACCAGCTCAGACGAGCGGCAGGATTCGAACTGATTTGTATTTTCTCGCGCCCATGAACTATTGCTCCTTTCTTGTCGTTAGTTAGCGGACTGCACTGGCCATGAGAACCACTACAAAGGTTTGACGTGTGCATGAAAACATTGTGTACAATAAAGTAGGTGGGAAGTTCGAGCAGACGTTATTCGTCCTAGTCCGTCTTTATTCGCAATCTCAGATAAATTATGAACGTCTTACATCGCTTTTTCTGCGTTTTACTTTATATTTCTTATATTTAAAAAAAAGCTTTAATATTCCTCCTCTCTTGCGACCCTCGCCCGCAGTCTACAGATGATCCTAAAGCGAGCTCATCGACGCCAAAATTGAGTAGAGCCAGGGTCTGTGTAGTACTCAGTCAATCCATTGCATACTAGGATATCGCACAAGACCACGAAATGCGCTTAGTTTTAATTTGCAATACTACATTTCGAATAAATTTGTTTTATCACTTGCTTTTCAGGGACGAGGCTGGGTACCCAAATGATCTGAAAACGACCAGCTTCATCTCTAGTTCTGCTTGCCGGTGTATGCTTCTTGGGTAAACTAATCCTTCTTATATTTTTTTTATTGCACTTTCGCACGACTAAAGAACGCTATAAGTTGCATGTTTTTTGTATGCTGGACATTGATGCAATTGTTGGTGGCTGTTTAACCATTATACCAGCTTGGTGGCATATTGTGACAAACAAGAGTAGCAGCCGAATGTAAAACTGAAAATGTATGTCTAATGAGGCGAAATTGGTCCAACAAACTTACCTAGAAATGTACCAGTATCTTGTGTCGGCCACGGAAGGGCAAGTATACCAAAGCAGTGAGCTGCCGCTGCTTTTATACACGTTGTTGCTCTTGTACCAGTAGCTGCTCTTATACCATTGGCTCAACCAGAAATTTCTATAGGGGGTGTTTTACTTTTCTGGTAGGGCTAAAATGAAAAAGAAAGAGTAGAAAATGCTTAAAACTCAATTTGGTCTTTTTGTTATACCCACAACTTTCAACTTTGTTGTTTCCCTCCAGTGGACAGGGGGAGGAAGAAAACAAGCAGGCTACTGTTGTTTGACTAAGTTTCTCCTCCGCACCTGCAACAAAGAAATAAAAAAATCCCGTACAGGAGACTGTATGCCTTTGACTGCTATCAAAACGCTTTACGATGTGACTGACACAACAAACTCCGAACATCGAAATATTATATCTAGTTTATATCATGAAGCGACGTAAAAGGTGCTGGTCCAACTTCAGGAAAATCACATTAGGAAAGGAACAGTGCCGGGCCCGAGCCAGGGCAGAACAGCTTGGTTTCAAGGCGCCTTTTTATTGCCGCGAGGGTAATAAGGGGGTCGTGACACCTGTTGAGACGGAAGGGAAATGTCAAGGAATGAGCTCACTGAAGAATTTATTTAGTCGGAGCTTTCAACGGTTATCAAAAAATGAAAGGAGTTTACAAATCCCTGTAACGCGAAATTAGAGCGCAGCTCTTGAGGAGAAGAAGAGTGTATGGAGGGGAGGATTCGCCACTCCTCCTCCTCCGTATCCTTTCCTCCTCCGCACCCTCTCCTCCTCCATACTCTCTCCTCCTCCCTTCATATACCTTCTCCTCTCCCCTCAAAAAAATTTAAAAAAGGAACAGTCTTTTGGAAGGATGTATGGCAAAAGGAGTGACATCGGGAATGATAAAGATTATAAACCGGCTTACCCTTCCTTTCATAGCCGTATTTTGGCTGTGCGAATCCGGGCTCTTCGGGAAACCCGTAGGGTATCAACTTCCATGTTCTGCCGGTGTGCGCGAGAAGGAGAAATAACAAATATTTATCGTACGGGCGGAAGAGTGTTCAGCTACGCCCATGCGCGGTACGTTTAAGAATGTTTTAACCCAGACCACTAGATTACAGTCAAGAATGGGCCAAAACTACCAAAAATAATTCAAGTTAAAAAAAAAAATTCGTGCCGACCGGAGTTTAAAACTCGTTTTTCCGCATGGCAGCCGCATGCGTTGCCAACTCCGCCACGTGCGCAGTATTATTATTATTATTTATATAAACCAGGTTCACCGTTTTAGCCGCAATCGATGTTGCTTATTCTTTGTGTATCTCAATCGTGATGTACATACCTTTTTTTTCTTTTCAGCGGTATGCTTATGCCTCCCATTGCTGCCTATATTGTCACGGCCTGCGGGTACAGAAAAGGGTCCATGTTCATGCTGGGTACACTGTCATTGTTTGTAAGTTTCTTTCATATCAATGCAATTACCGTGTTGTTAGGTAAAAATATCCCGATGAATGAACGTAGTTCGTATCGTAACAGATTATCATATCCATTCAGGTGTTGTTTTAGAACTGGTTAAAGTTTGGTGAGCTTGGCCTCGCGTTACAGCAGTTGTTTTATGGATGATTATTTTTGCATGCCTCAGTTCTTTTTGTCTTCCCCGAACACTGAGGCGACAAAAGAATGAAACTCTAGATGACGCTTTTGTCCTGCCTCGTCCATCAATTAACATAAAACAATTACTGCGATATTGACATCGATGCCGGTCACATCTGACTCACTGTATCTGCCGGGATCAAACAACGTTCAAACTCCATTCGTGACGGTGTTTTTTGTTTACCCGGTACAGTACTGAGTTGACAGGGGAGGTGAGCGGTTTAGGAAATGTGGGGACCTTCATCAACATTCCCTTCGTAATCTTGATTTCTTTCTCTTCATCATTATCCTCATCCCCATCTTCCTAATTATCACATATTCTAACCTCCTCGAGCACTTGTCTCTTCTTGGATGCGGTCGCTCAATAAATTCGTCCCTGGATCTCTCTATCTCACCCTCAAAATATCTACAGGTCATGACACATTTTAATTAGATATATGTATCGTCAAAGACCTCGGTTAAGTGTACTATACAAAAATAAAGTATGCATTGATTATACAACCAAAAAGTAAAATAAACCCATTTCAATAGTAAGATCCATCTAGTGACAGCCCCGAAAGCCTCAATATTGCCTCACGGATGTTGGTGATAAGTAAACACGACCAGCTAAATTAAGCGCACTTGATCAACTTCCCAAATTAAAGATGACATACAAGGGCCTAAATGTTAGAATCCGCTCTCCTTTTTGTGCTTCATGCTTTTGAAGATGTTCGCTTTTGTGGACAAGCTTTATAATGCCACCATTAAAGAGGTACTGAATTGAAACTAAGAATACACCCCTCACGTCCAGAAATAAGTTAAATATGATCAACTCCATCTGCTAAGGAAAATCGCACGGTTGTATTTTATACGGACGGCTAAATATTTCGTTCTACATGTTTGATTCTGGCGAGCGCTTCAAAATCAGCCATCGAAGAGTGCAGAGCGCTTCGGGATATCCGTCGTCCCCGTGACTTGCCCGCGATGTCATCGGCCTTCCTATCGCCAAGCGCTTCGTAGCTGTGAGCGTTGAAACTTGGTGGCGTGACACTTTGCTACCTCACTTCGTCAGAGTGCTTCAGGGCTGTAACATATCATTGGGAAATTACGGAGCTGGCGGAGCCGTGCGCGCTATGACAACACGTAGTGCGTCGTCTGCTGCGCCACTTTGCCGACATGGTCACATCGGCAACTTCTATTTCGGGCGCGAGGTCGCTGCTCTTTAAACGAGACAACATCGTCACCAGGCGACTAAAGTACGTATGTTATCTTGCACTAAGCGACATGCTGGTAGATTTTGTACCTCACGTTATCTAGGGCTGGGGCTGGATCATGTGTGGCATTGGAAAGACAAGGCAATCGCTGCTTCGCTGATTTACCACCGACTGATCAAAACGACCCGACTCGGTGAGCGCGCCAGCTTCACGGATAAATAAATATTTCTTTGACGGCGCCATACGAATCGGCATCCTTCGTTTATTAAAGCGAGCAGGGAAGCAGGCCGACTCCGGCGACGCAGCACGGAGGTGGCATAACCCGAATATTTCACACAGCGTATCGCATCAATAGTGGTATGACTGCAGCATTGTCATGACACCGCGAAGAACTGCGTACACCGCGAAGATTCTACGACATTCCTTGTCGCATGGGCACGCATTAAACGAACGAAAGGAGATATCAGCGTAGAGGAAGCGTGTGCTAGTCTTGACGGGACGCGATTTTCTAAGCGAAGGCACAGATCAGAGAGTACACGACCTGTAGAATTCTCACGTCGTCACGCAAAAGAACTACCACGTAAAAACGCTTTCACCACCACGATTTTGCAACACCACTTGTATAAATGGCGAGCACTAAACGAATAAAGAGAAGCGATCGGCACCGCTTTCGTCGGTTTTGTCTAACGAGGCTTACGCGATCGTCCAGGCGGGGGGGGGGGGGGGGGCACTTAGCACCTCGATAACCAATAAGTTGAACGGCGAGACGGTTGCTGAATTCTCACATCGTTCCAAAGAGACTACCATGCCCGAAAGCGGATACCGGCACAGCTCTGCGACGTAAACCCGGGTCACTAGGAGAGGTCGGTACCTTCCGGCGAGAGCGACGTCAAAAGCAGCGTGCGCCACTCAGCCCCTGATGTCAGTGACATCAAAGAATGAATAAAATCGATTGGCTGGCGGAGTGAATTCAAGGTGGTTAACTGCGCCTTGACGTTCTTCACCAAACCTTTGGTATTACGTTCTGGCCTAGGTAATCTGTACTACTGAGCGTACCTCCCATATAGTGGCGCTGCCGTCGGAGACCGATGCCTCCACGACATTCCATTCAAGCTTCATAACCAACAACCAACTGGATTCTGGTTATCGTATAATACAGTTTAAAATATATATCCTCGCGCTTTCGGACAAAATAATAAAGGTTCTGAGGTTGTACTGCAACTTACGCCATGTTTACGCGAAGAAATGAGCTCGAGAATTTGTTTCTTGTACCCTCTTAAAGCGTCGGGTTCGGCTCTGCGGAAGGTAGCTAGACTGACTTTTGTAAAAGAGAGTCTATCCTAAGCAACTCAAATAGCGACGGAGATATCTCATTTTTACGATATTTTTTTCTTTCTTGCAGACGTTAATTACTGTGGGCTCCTGGCTCACCGCTGCACTTTGTGCGTCAAACGCAAGATTCGAGCGAGACTCCGAGCGTCAAGCACTGTGGCGAGGCAGTTCGGAGAATGCCGGCGGTCCGCAAAATCCTCAGTTACCTACCACACTCTCGCGGACCGATTCAAGCGTCAATCACGCTCCAGCATAATTTATTGATTTTACATGCACATGAAAGCTTTTGTATCGGCATACGAATAATTATGGCGAGTCACTGGCAGTCTAAGAAACGCCGGGCGTATCTTATTATATTCATGCATCTTGGTGCGTTGACTGAGGAGTTTTAAATGGATGTTCGCGACTCGCCACGTTCCGCATTTCTTCAGTTGTCAGTGAGTCGAATTATTCCAAATATGGACAAATAGAACACTATAAAAAAGGTGTTTCTGTGAATTAGAGACAAATTCTCAATGCGGAGGACAAATCGTCTGCTTATGGCGCAGGATTTCCGGTGACGTCAGAAAGGCGCCGAGCTCTGATTGGCTTTGATTGAAACGTTAGTGGGCATCTAGGTTCAGGCCTCTAGCACCTCTGTGCTCGATGCCTTAAGAACTACGCATTATTTTTTTTAATTAGCCAATGGGAGCTCGCCGTTTTGACATCATCGCAACCCCTGTGCGAGAAGCAGACGAACTTTCGCTCTGCATATCGTCTTTAACTCGCGTATCGTGCTACAAGCAAACCCCATTTTTTATCCATAGAATGACCTTAAAATAATCTACGGAAATGAAGACAAAAGCACGGCACTCTGGTGGAATTCATGTTTGAAGTTGCGTGGACTAGTTATTTTCTGTCCTTTTTGGTTTTAATAAAGTGACTGAAAGATTTTATTAAATGCATGGGTTCATATAATTTGAGATTCCCAACGAAACAACAAGGTAGGAATGCTATTTTATGGCCACAATATTCCTGACCTCACTGCAGTTTGATTCCCTATACCTCAATGTTAATTGCTTCTTTTTTTTTATTTGTGGAGATATTAAGTCTAGTCTTTGGTGGATTTTCTGTGTGAGAGACAATATGTATCTTAGTAGGTTTTGCTGTTGCAATATTGAAAATAACAGATCTATATCGATTGCAACAATCTCATTTTCTCTTCGCAACGTTCTGATCTCTTCATTTTTTATAGGCATTTATGACATATTAATGTACTTTAACTCATGAATTGCACTTTCGCTATGCCCCGACGATTTTTCCGTGCAAGGCACAAGAGACCGAGGGAAACCTTTAAAGACACAGCTAGCAATGTAAGCAAATGGGCGGTTACCAAAAGCTATCTTTGGCACTGCAGCATACTAAATCATAGAACACACATTTCCGATACAGTTTTCATTTTTCCTGGGGGGAGAGAGAGAGAGGGGGAAAGGAAAGATAATGAATTTGAGGCTTTCGATTATGAGCCCTGATGTAGAACGAGCCGTCAAATCGGCGTCTTAGCCCAGCGATCTCATAGTTTCGTACAAGCTGCGATTTATTGATAAATTCTATAGCTGGTGTAATTCCATCGTGTTTTTCTGTTAGAGTAAAAATGAAAGCCGCTTGGTTTGGTGCTTGCATCGAGAGATAGTGCAACATATCGCAATCGAAAAAAAAAAAAAGTTTCCATGGACGGTGGCGGTAGATAAGACTGAAGACATCTGTGGTGTAATCTAACTTCCCCCACCACGAAAGATTGGCATCTAGTCCCTAACACTATGGACATATTTAGGTGAAGGTAGAGCGTTCGGTGATGCGTAGTTTAGCGAAGAGAAAAAAAAACGCGTCTTTCCCCCGAATACCCGGTACCTCAATTTTAGTGTTAATCTGATCTGAATGCATACATATGCACGCGTGCATAAGTTAATATCTTTCTATCTTTACTTTTCTGCGTCACCACGTATATACGTTTTGGTTTCCGGCAAAGCAACGTTTACTATGATTTATATTTAAATTGGCCTGACAGTAAATTACTCTCGTCTAAATGTTAACCCGTCACCGCGTTTTGAGGAATATGTTCCAGTAAACAAAATTATATTTAACTGTTAGCTCATAGCCCCGTTCACCCTTCATTCAAGAGGTCAGGCATTTTTATCTAGCTTATGAGCTGCCTCGAATGTTATAACTCAACCAGCTGTTGATTGTCGTGGTCTCTCCCGATTTACAGTTCAACGAACTCGCTTTGCTGGATCGTCTATGATACACTTTTTTAAACGTCATGTGGCTTCTACAGTTGTTCTCGGCAATGCCGTCAATGTACTCATAATATCCAATCATGTTACGCTTGTTGCTGTTAAAAGCCATTACTGCGTGAATATAGCCAGTTTTCTGATACTGAAAAAACCTTTAAGGAGACTCAGACTTGCACGTACGCTCTTAAAAGCCCCTGCCTGTAAATGTCCCCACAATACACTCTAAATACACGATAACGGTGTTCGGTGTCAGACTGCAATGGTCCTGCATTTTCAGTGGTAAGACGGTTTTCCCTTTTTTGCCACAGAGGCCGGGCGGCTATTCTAACATGGCACGAATCGCCCTCCTCGTTGATAGACCGGATTAAACCAAGGACAACGATTGGCGTTCTAAGTGCACAGTGACGTAGTATACTCAAAATAAATTTCAAGAGCGTAGTATTCACTATCATACAAAAATATAGTTTGACCACTGACGGCTTGAGAAAGGCACAGCGTGGCGACCTCCGGCGGCATTCGCCGATATAAACGCCGCAGAGCGTATCATGACCCAAGAGTTACGGACATTTTGAGCAACATCCGGTGTTTCTTAACCCATGAGCAACATTACTAGTACAACTCAGCTAGGGAACTTACCCTCGAAACCCGGACCGCTGGCGTCCACGGAGACCAAACTAGGCACGATTACAGATCCGCCCTTTAGTGGCAAGTCAAAACATGAAAGTTGCTTCATACTACTGCGGGATGGCGCTACTGCGGGATGGCGCACCCGGCCCTTGGGAGACTCGATTAGACCGGTTCGTCCGGCCGTGAAGTTCGCGGAGTGGCCACTGCAGGAGGAACGGGCGGTGTTGCGGTCGCGTCTAGTTCGATTCTCGAGTGCGTATCGGAGCCACTTTTTTCAAAGCAAGTTTCTCAACTGAGTTATTCTAGTAACGTTGGCTGTGAGTGACTAGAGACAGTACAACTGCTATCAGCAGTTCAGATTTGCTTTCTCTCTTACATCGCTGATTTTTTTTATAATTTATTTTGTTTGACCTCATTCATTCGATTTCATACACTTACTTTTCTTGTGCACAGTGAATTCTCCCATGTTAACCAATATCGCCAAACTTAGAGAGTGTCTGCTTGTAAGTGAATCCGAAATGAAGAAATAAATGTTTGTGGTCTAGGGACATCGCGAATCGGCCTAGTTTAGACTTCTACTGAAATTACACTATTACACACATGGACGAAATTGACAAAAGGCCTCCATGGTGCATGGTTTGAATGCGTGGCAAACGCGAATTGAAAAAGTAAAAAGAGTAAGATCATTTGTAAAAATTAATTCCGACTTAGTGCTCGACATTTGCACATACGTATAGGCGATGGGTGAGCAGCGAAGTAGTGCTGACGATGCGATTCGTATGTGTTAGTCGTGCCTGTACACTAATCGCTTTAAGCGTTGGTTGTAAGCGTGCTTCTCGAATTAGGTACCAGGTAGCCATTAGCATGAGCGAGCAATGTCCAGTTGTTTTTTTATATTCTTCTGTGGAGAGGGGAAGGCAGTCATCAACGCTAAGTGCTTCCGATGAGAAGTTAGCGTATTAAGAGATACTTCACAATCAAGACAAGTTGAAGATTGCATATGCCAACGACAATGGAAACAAAAAATGTGAATTTACAATTACTTCGAATTACTTTTTTGTCGGGTAGCACTCGCAGTAACATCACTTGTGGAGATGTGCCTCATTGGAAGTTAGTCAAATGACAGGCTATCCTGTTTTGTCGTCGAAAAAAAAAAAAATACGTGCGTTCGGCAGAAAAAAAAATTAAAGACATCCAGCATCAAAAGAAAACTTCTAAACTTTACGTTTTAGAACAGATTATAAGCGAAATCCAAGATATTATCTTGGAATGACATAACCCTAGGTTAGACGCTTGTACTTTACACTCCCAACGTCGAAACAGAACTTTAGGACCTAACTTTAGGACCGTTACAAACATGAAGACGACGGAGTATATGCTATATTACCGTACGACAAGTCCATTGTGATGGAAGGGCCTGCATTGAATCTAATTGACTTTTTAAATCACGTCATCTGTCCGCTGATATTGACCACAAATATTTCATACGATATTATCAACTCTGTTTCGTAAAGTCCAAAATATACTGGGTAAAATAACCAGTATATTTAAGAAAAAAAACCGTGACAGTTACACTAATGCCGTTTGCACTGGTGAATCTATGGCCAGGGGGACATACTTTAGGGGGTAATGGTAACAATTAGGCGCGTGATTAACTCAAATTTGTTAATCAACTTTTTAATTATTGCAAATAAACAAATGGTTCTAATTAGACACTTGGGGAGCGTCATCGAAAACCGTTATATCAGGCAGTATTAGAAAGCAGGAGCCAGGCTGCCCTTGCGATACCGTGGCCGCGCGATTTTTCTGTCTCTTACCAACCGCGTTTTCCGACCCCAGCCTTGTGCCTGTTGCCCGAGTGGTAATTTTAGCTCACTTCTGTGCTTCCCACCCGCTCAAAGATTTTCGAAAAAGTGGCTCATTTAGTTGTTTTGGATGAAGCCGAGCAAGTCTTTAATTGAAACCATGTCATCATCATAATTTATTTTCCTTGAGGGCCCAAGGGCATTATACAAGAAAAAGAACACTTAAAAAACGACAAATATTTAATAACAAAAACATGCTGTAACCTAGTTATAGGGTAAAAAGATATAGGATAATGACGGCAGTGAATTTATTAGTGTCACCTATGAAAACAATTGTTTATCTTCACTAATTGAAAAAGGTTAATTAACAAAGTTTAGTAAATTATTCAACTTATCATGACGATTCGCCCCACCAATTTGTTCATTTTGCCGCATACCTCACCTGCAAAAACCATTAGTGTATTCTTTACGAATTTTTGTTTTAATCTGTTAAGCTTAAAAGGGAACAACCCTGACGATTGTTTTGATAAGCAATTCGTAATAAATATTTTTAGCAGCGAGCTGATTTACCTTGCAACTCTTGACTTAATTTTTGGTAGTCTAATTTTTAATCTAACTTAAAAGGTGAAATTGGTGAATCGGTGAAATTGGGGGAAGGGTGAAACGGCGCTCAACCAACACGGACAGAAAAGGGTGTAGAAAGTACGAGCGTTGAACTTCAGTTAAACATTTATTGAAACTACGGTACGTCTCACGAAGAAACCAACCACGCCCTAATCACGTAAACACGTGCAATTATGGAGTGGTTGCTTTCTTTGTTTCACGTAGTTTCAATAATTTGTTAGCCGACGTTCAGCGCCCGTCCTCTCTACTCCTCTCTTTGTCCTTATTTATTACGCGCTGTTTCAACAATTGTTACGAATGAACCAACTTGGCTAAATCGCTACTTTAGTTCATCACAGGATAATACAAATTTTACAATACTCAAAATTGGAAATAAGGAAACAACAGCAAGGTTTAATTGTACACTGTAGAATGTCCTACAGCAGATTCGCATTTTTTTTTATGCCAGTTCTTTGTTTAAATCCTCAGCGAGCGTAAAGGGCACACCGGCATGTGTTCAGTCTTCACATTAGAAAACAAAAAGCAGCCAGAAACTTCTCATGTAATCAATTATTAAAATGACAGCTGCAGTATTTGTTGACTCATTCATCCACTGGGAGCATAGTGTCGCA